CGGCTTTTTTCTTTTTGCTTATGTGGTGCTGAGGAATCGAATCCAGGGCCTCATGCATGCAAGGCAAGCGCTCTACCACTGAGCCAACTTCCCAGCCCCAGGAACACATATTATTTACAGTACAGGTAACTAACAGTAGAGAGAGGTTCTGCATAGCTTCTTTCCCTCCTTCTCTCCTTCCCACTCTCCCTCTCTCCCTCCCTCCCCCCTTCCTTCCTTTCTTTCTTTCTTTCTTTTTGTCCGGTCGTGGGGCCTGAACTCTGGGCCTGGGGCTCTTCAGCTCAAGGCTAGCACTCTACCACTTGAGCCACAGCGCCACTTCCGGCTTTTTTCTTTTTGCTTATGTGGTGCTGAGGAATCGAATCCAGGGCCTCATGCATGCAAGGCAAGCGCTCTACCACTGAGCCACCTTCCCAGCCCCAAAATTCTTAATTTGGAAATGGTGCTGTGGCTCAAGTACTAGAGTGCTAGCCTTGAGTACAAAGAGGCTCAGGGATTGCACCCAGGCTTTGAGCTCAAGCCTCACAACTGACAAAAAAAAAAAAAAAAAAGTCTCATGAACTTTACTGCCTGGGCTGGTTTGAACTGGGATTCTCAGATCTCAGCCTCCTGAGTAGCTAGGATTATAGGTGTGAACCACCACCATATGATTTCTTATTTTTAATGTGCCCAAAGCCATGCAGCTTCTAAGTAATAGAACTGGGATTCAAAACCACACAGGTTCCAGAGCCTGATTCCTTTTTTGAATGTTTTGAGGTTAAAATTCACAGAATACAAAATTAGCCCTTTTCTCTTAAAATTTTTTTGTTGGTCGTGAGGCTTGAACTCTGAATCTGGGCACTGTCCCTCAGCTCTTCAGCTCAAGGCAAGTGCTCTACCACTTTGAGCCACAGCACCACTTCTGGTTTTCTGAGTGGTTTACTGGAGATGAGTCTCATGGACTTTTCCTGCCCTAGCTGGCTTTTTTTTTTTTTTTTTTTTTCCGGTCGTGGAGCTTGAACTCTAGGCTTGGGCACTGTCCCTGTGCTCTTCAGGTCAAGGTGAGAGATCTACTGCTTGAGCCACAGTGCCAGTTCTGGTTTTCTGAGTGGTTTATTGAAGATAAGAGTCTCCCAGACTTTTCTGCCCAGGCTGGCTTTGAACCATGATCCTCAGATCTCAGCTTCCTGAGTAGCTAGGATTACAGGCATAAGCTACCAGTGCCTGGCTTCTCAAAATTCTTTAGATCTGCTTTTAGTTTTCTTTTTTCCTTTTTATTAATTATATTAGTATAATTAATATATAATATAATTAATTAATATAATTATATTATTTGCAATTAATATAATTATATATCTATGCATACAATTGTACAGAGAGTTTCATTATGATATTCCCATACATGTATATAATATACTGTGATCAGTTTCAACCCTCTATTACTCTATTTCCCCTCTTCTCCTTTGAAAAGCAATTTCTAGCCAGGCACCTCAGATGACTTGAGCCTGTAATCCTAGATATGTTGGAGGCAAAGAATAGGAGGATCTTGGTTCAAGGCCAGGTAGAGCAGAAAAGCCTTTGAGACTCTGCCTCCATGGAAGGAGGTTGGACATTGTGGCAAGTACCAGTAATAATAGTACCTAAAAGTAAACTGGTCATGGCACAGACACAGACAGGGTGTGGGAATCAAGACCCTAGCCTAAAAATAACCAGCAAAAATCAGGGCTTGGGGTGTGGCTTAGCAATATCATGCCACCATCACAAACCCAGGGACAAGCTAAAACCCCAGTACCACACACACACACACACACACACACACACACACACACTTCATTTCATACAAAGTATTTTGGTCATATTTACCCTTCCTTTGCCTTCTCCTTTCACCCATTTACTTCTCCAAAGTTGATGTGCTGACGCTAGAACCCAGAGCCTTGTGTATTCTGTTAACATTCTACCACTGAGCTTATATTCTCCCAGCCCCTAGGTCCAGCTTTATTTTTTAAAAAATCATCAGAATCACAAAGCTATTACAGCTACATTCTACTCACTGCCAAAGTACTGTCAAATGATTATCTGTAGTAAAGCAATGACAATAATCCAAATACAACCTGGACTGCCTACTGGTGAAGAGCCTTATTATTAATCCTCAGTTTCTCAGTGGTAATGAATACTGACATTGTATAAGTGCACAAATTATTTGATGAAACTGAGCAGATGGAAAATCCATTCTTCACAGCTGGGCGCTGGTGGCTCATGCTTGTAATCCTACTCAGGAGGCTGAGATCTGAGGATCGCGGTTCAAAGCCAGCCCAGGCAGGAGAGACCATGAGACTCCTATCTCCAATAAACCACCAGAAAACCGGAAGTGGCGCTATAGCTCACAGTGGTAGAGTGCTCGCCTTGAGCTGAAGAGCTGAGGGACAGCGCCCAGGCCCAGAGTTCAAGCCCCATGACCGACAAAAAAAGAAAATCCATTCTTCCTCTTCCTTCTGTTGACTTCTTAAACCTCTCATAGAAACCCCTTTGGCCCTTTGGTCTGGCTGCTCCTGCAGCAATTCCAAACCAAGTTATGTAATGATCCTTATAAGCCTCAAAATCAGGAATCTTGAATTCCAAGGGTGTGTCTTCCTCCTATTCAGTGGGCACTGAGAGACAAATCCATAACAGTAAAACAAAATCAACCATTTTAAGGCAAATAATTCAGTGGTAAAGCAGGCCAGTCACAATGTTGTATAACTAAAACATTTTGGTCATTTCAGAGTAAAGCCCTGTCAGGCACCAGGGCTTTCATACCTGCAATCCTAGCTACTCAGGAGACTTGAGATCTGAGGATCTAGGTTCAAAGTCAGCCACAGCTCCACTTGAGTACAAGTGGTAGAGCGGTAGCCTTGAGTGAAAAAGCTATAGTATCCAGGTCCTAAGTCCAAGCCCCGGTGCCAGCACACCCACACCCCCCCCCACACACACGGCCTCAAGTATTTTTCCAGAGCTGGACTGGCCTCTCACATTATAGGCACACTCTAGGTGTGTACTATCATGTACTACTATCAATCCTCTTAATAACCTAGCAGTAGAATTGAGGAAAAGAAAGTTGTGCTCAAGCTGGGCACTGGTGGCTCACGCCTGTAATCCTAGCTACTCAGGAGGCTGAGATCTGAGGACCACAGTTCAAAACCATCCGGGGCAGGAGAGACCAGGAGACTCCTATCTCCAATAAACCAACAGAAAACCGGAAGTGGCGCTGTAGCTCAAGTGGAAGAGCGCTCGCCTTGAGCTGAAGAGCTGAGGGACAGTGCCCAGGCCCAGAGTTCAAGCCCCACGACCGACAAAAAAAAAAAAAAAAGTTTTGCTCAATGCTAACATGCAAGACTTCATAGGTAGGTAGTTGTGTGACTTTTAATCTTCATTTTCTAACTCCAGAGGCTAAATATTTTTATTTCTAATATTTTATTGTTATTAAAGTGTTGTACAGAGTAGTTAACATTTCATGATTCAGGTACTGAGTACAATTCTTTTTGGATAATGTACCCCTTCTTTCACTTTTCCCTAGTTTTCCTCTCCTATCCCTGCCCAAAGTTGCACAGTTATTTTCCATACAGTCTACTGAGTACCATGCCTGCATTTTTTGTTGTTGTTGTTGTTGGTAGTGGGGCTTGAACTCTGGGCCTGGGTGCTGTCCCTCAGCAATTCAGCTCAAGGCTAGTGCTCTACCACTTGGAGCCACAGGGCCACTTCCAGCTTTTTCTGCTTATGTGGTACTGAGGAATCAAACCCAGGGTCTCATGCATGCAAGGCACACACTCTACCCCTGAGCCACCTTCCCAGCCCCCATGCCTGCATTTGTTCATCCTTCTTCCTACCATTTCTGCATCCTCTTTGCCCTCCTCAATACAGGGAAATAAAAATATTTACAGGGGAAAAAATACAGGGAAAAAACCCAAACAAACCACCAAAAACAAAATAAAAAAGTAAAACCACCACCAACTCCAAGAACAACAATTGAGATTAAATATTTTAATAATGCACATCTTTGGGGGATTAGGATGAGGAGTAGACTGCATTTGATTTTCAAACCACAGGATGAGGTGAAACTGCAATTAGTACCGTACAAGCGGTTGATTAACACCGAAAGCCAACGGCAGAGCCAGACAGCAGCAATTGGTAAGGTCGGCACAGCAGCAAGCTTCGCCTACCGGTCCAGAACAGGCTGTCAGTCAATCCTGGCCAGGAGGGCGGGGCTTGCTCGGCCCTGGCAACCAGGTCCTACCAGGGAACTCAGGTGGTTGGAGGCCTGGTAAGGGCAACCGGAGGAAACACAGTAGGAAGCAGTCGGGGCCTATGCCATCCACTGAGGGGGGCGTCTAGAGTAGGGGGGCTTTTTAGTATCTGTCATCCCTCCTGAAGGGGCTGTCACCTCTGTAGTATCTTTTCTCCCGCAACAGAGGGGTGCTCTCTATACAGCTCCCCTTTTCTCCTCGATTCTCGGTGGGGGGATCTCAGAGAGCTGCTCTGATGAGGGAGGGTTTCATTCCCAAGTCCTCCCTCCCCCTTCTCAGGGCGGTAACCGGGTTCCAGTTCAACAAAGCCTCACCCTTGGCCCAAGCCCGCCCGTGGCGCCGCTAGCGGGAAGCTCCATGGCAACCGGAAACATCACAACTCCATAGAGATATCGCGAGAAGTCGCGGTGGCCCCCGTGGTCCAGGAGGGGCGGAGCGAAGGCGGGAACGGGAACGCCGCGGGGTGGAGCCCGAGCGCTTCCGACGTCCGGAATCTCTTCAGGCGGCGCCCCCGCGTGACTCGGCTTTACATAATCGCGGCCTCGAGCGTAACTGTGGTGTACTCCGGTCTAGACCGAATCGAGTCGGCCGAGGCTCCTTGTCCCGCCCCTCCTGGCTTGATCGACGTCGGACAGAACCAGTGGACGGGCTTCCAGCGTCGTCGTCGCGCCCGCCCGGGTTCGCCCCGGCCCGCTCGCCTCGGCTCGCCGCTTGTCGCCGCCGCCGCCCCCAGATTGTGTCTCCGACTGTCAGCTAAGTCGGCGGGCCGCGCCGGCGGGGCGGCGACCACGGCCCGGGCCGGACATGGCGGCGCTCTACGCCTGCACCAAGTGCCACCAGCGCTTCCCCTTCGAGGCGCTGTCTCAGGGGCAGCAGCTGTGCAAGGTGCGCGGGCTGGGGCGGCGGCCGGGAACTGGGGGCGCCG